CTACAAGTTTCCGGGAAGGCCTGCGACATATTACCACCCAGTTTCCAATGTTATTCCATTCGCAAGGTTTGGGATGGACATCATTGGGGCCTTCCCTCAAGCTCAAGGGAGGAAGAAGTATGTCATGGTCGCTATCGACTACTTCACAAAATGGGTAGAGGCTGAGGCATATGCAACCATCACAACCAAGCAGTGCCAGTGCTTCGTCTGGAAGAATATAATCACCAGATTCGGGTCTCCTTGAAACATTGTGACGGATAATGGGCCTCAATTTCGGAATCCAGGGTTCACCAAATACTTGGAGGACTTCGGGATTACTCACAACAAGGCTTCCGTGGCCTACCCGCAAGGGAATGGAAAACAAATAGGATGACAACGTAGTTTGACCGGTATACTTTTTGTGAAGTGTACCGGTCATATTTTGGCCGATGATATATCGTTTTGCTGACGATTTAAGTCTCCCTCCCAAAACTTTCGAGATTGACTGGTCAAAGATTCGGCCTTCTCCTTTGACCGGTCTTGGGTGAAATACACCCATCAATAAGCCCTCCACTTCTCGGTCATGCAATTTGTCATGAGCGGGAAGTAAAAAGTCTGAAACAAGACTCTTAAATTCAAATTTGTAATTTTTCCCGCTCGAATATTTCAAATTCAAAATTTGAACTGTTGGTTTTGACACGTGTTTGGCGCTGGCCATTGCAGCAGTCGCGTCCCATCGCCTTCCCCATGCTCCATCATTGCGCCGCCTGACGCGGCGTGTTCTCGCGTGGCCACGTCGCTCCCTTTGGCCTCCTCTCCTCCTATATAAAGGCCTCCAACCCCCTTCACTTCTCACTTCTCGCACTTCGCCTCCTAGAGCTTTCACCGGTCAAGTCCCTTATCTTTCGCTATCCAGCCCTCCGAGTCAAGTAAGTTCCCCCTTCCTTCTCTTTTTTCTTTCCCGGCCATGTATTCGTCTAGCGATAGGATCTCGTCCTCAGAGGACTGCTCCTCTGAGGATTCCAACTCATCTTCCTCGACCGGGTCTTCTTCTCCTGAATCTACGCCCGGTCAGGTTCCCAACTCCTCCATTCCCGACCCGCATCCTGTAAATCAGGTGCCCGGTGAAACTTTCGTGGGGAGGGATGACCCAGTCGATGACGAACCGGGCCCCTATGACCCTGAACACGAAACCCGGGATGCGTGGGAGGAGCGGCTTCATGCTGCCGGTTACTTTCTGCTTCCCACCTTCTACGTCCTTGACATCCCCTCCCGTGTATCCAAAATTGCCCTGAACAAAATTCGTAGGAGGCTCCCGGACGGGTATACCCTTCTATACGAACCCAACTGGCCCAATATTGTCGAACCCCACCGGGAGGACAGGATAGGGTTCCACACCATTTCCCTAGATGCGGGCATAGTTTTTCCCCTTCGCCCCCTCCTAACCGAAGTATGCCACGCGTTTGGGATTTTGCCCGGTCAAATAACTCCCAACACCCACCGGTATCTCCATTCCTTTGTAAATATCTGTACCCATCTGAAAATCTTCCCTTCTTTGCGTCTTTTCCTTTTTTGCTTCGAAGTCCTACCGGGCGGGGCTGGCTGTGAAGGCTTTGTATTCTTCAAAGCCCGCACCGGTAGGAAGTTCATTTCCGAAGTCCCCCAGAGTAACCGGGGATGGAAGGAAAAGTTTGTTTTCATCGAATTTCCCCCCTTCTTTACTCCTCTGGCCGGTCTGAAATGGAATGACCATCTCCTCGACCAAGAGTATGCTGCACCGGCCTCCTCCCCAGACTTGGAAGCTAATCTCGAGATCCTCATGCGGGGGGATCCTCAAACCGGGAGGATCTTCCATCAAGGCAGCTGGGTTTGGAGGGTAGAGTCGGGTGGTGAGGGTACCTCCCAGGCCCAGGAAGCAGCGGGGCACGGGGTACCCTCCCCGGGCAACACTGCAGAGGCCGAGGGCCAAAACCACCCAGGTATTTATCCTTTTTCTTGTGCTTCGTAGTTTGACCAGGCAAACTATTTGTACTTAATGTTTTTAGTTTCTTTTGCAGATATGGAGTTCGAAGAATTCGCCATCCCTGACGACCAACCAGCCGGGGAGACCGGGGGCTCCGAAGCCAATCCTGCCAGGACTTTCCCGGTCAATCCAGAGCCCGTGGAAATCCTGGATGAAGATGAGCCCCAAGACAACCGGTCTAAGGGGAAGGAGAAGGAGAAGGCCGGTCGCCGGGTGAAGAAGGTGGCCACCACGCACCCTTCCTATGCCAGGAAGAGGGCAAGGTCAGACCCTGAGCCGGCCTCCCAGACCATTGAAGAGGCTTTTGTCAACCTGGGCCTGAGGCTGAAGGAGGT